ATGTTTGAGGGTTCCCCCTCCCCACCACTTGCACCCTTGCGTTGCCTGGCTCTGGCGACCTCGCTCTTGCCGCCCCTCCACCTCCTCCCGTTGCGGTCGCGGTCGCCGTGCTCGTGGAACCACTGGGTCGCGTGGTGTTCCTGGCACGTCTTGCCAACGCACACCGAGAAGAAGGTGTGTTTGCCGCACTGCCAACACTTCTTGCAGTTCATCTTGCGAAGCCACAAGCGGTGGGACGAGCGGGTGTACCGCTTCCTGGTCCTGGAAGTCCAGCATGAATTCCTCCTCCGCCTCGCTGTCGTCGTCGTCGACCTCAAAGACAGGCGCGTGCCCGTCCTGCAGGGTGTCTCTGTAAATCAATCCCTTCAGGAAGGGTCACGGGTCTCTGTGAATGAATCCCCTCAGGAAGGGGAGGTTCTATCGATAATCCCCTCTGGCAGGGGTCTCTGTAAACGGATCCCCTTCTCTGTAAACGGATCCCCTCAGGAAGGGGCGCCTTAACCACGTGTACCCCCAGCTCCTCGCGAGGCCGCTTGCCGCCGCCACCGCCTTCTGGAGGCAGCCCGCCGCCGCAGCCGCCCGACATCATCATGCCGGAAGCCTGGGGTCCAGAACGGTTGCGGCCGAAAGTTTTTAGTCAGACTCAAAAGGCTAAAATCTGGGGGCCTCGTGGGAGGCCCTTCGGGCGGGTGAATGCAATGGAATGTCATAGGAATTCGTCCAATTTTAGACCCCCCTTTTTTGCTAAAAAAAAAGTGGGTCTAAAACTCGGCTGCTGGATTGATTTTTCATCGCCCAGATGGCCAAACAAGTGGCCGTCACTCTTACTTTTCTCCTCATCCTGCCCCAACTCCCCCCTTGCATTCTGCTTCCGCGCGGCCTGGGGCGCCGAGAGGCACACGATGAGCGCCCGCATGGCCGCGAGCTCGGGGCGGGGGGCTGGCCCCCAAGCGCGCTGGGCGTCAGCTCTGTCGAACGGTTGCGGATGAAGAACATGAAAGCAAATGGGAGAGGGATGGAACGAGGAGGAAACGCAATGCCACACACATAATGAGTAAGCAGACTGCCGCACCTTTGATCCCCTCCCCGAGGGGTCCCCTCTCGGAGGGGGCCGTTGCCCTGTCTTATCGCGAGTGTGCTGAAGCCCCTCTTAAGGGGTTCCCCTCTTAAGGGGTTCCATCACTCGCCAATCCATCGCGCGGCCCCCTCACGGAGGGGCGCCCCTGCGATGAGGGGGTGTCGTCTAGCACTGGAGAGGGCGCTCTGCCAACGGGTATGGCGATGGCAATGGCGATGAAGACGGTAAGGACGATGATGATGATGGATGCGATGATGAGGATGGATGCGATTAGTCGCCCAAGCGCTGTGCCACTAAGCGCTCAGCCTCCGCCTTAGCAGCTTCCTTGGTGTCAGCCACGGTGCCGTCGACCAAGGCCTTCTTCAGCTCTGCGCCGATCTCCCTGAGCGTGGCCTCGTCCAAGGTGTCCTTGTACTTTTTCCCGCCGAAACTCACAAACTGGTTCTTCTCACCGTGCGTCCGCTTCAACCCGATAGAGTGGTCCCTCTTGTAGTACATCACGCTGTACCCGCGGTCGGCGTGGCCAGCGGGGGGCCCAGCGCCGACCGAGGGCTCATCTGCAGCATCCACGGGCTCATCGGGTTCCAGCTGCTCTTCCTCCCCCCCCTCATCGTCCTGGTCCGTCTCCGTGTTCGCGGCGGCTGCACTGGGCTTTCTCATTGCAGGCTTCTTTGCCACTACATGTCCTGCTGGCTTCCCTTTTTTGCACGCTTTCGCCTTCGCCTGCGCGGCTGCCGCTCTTGCTGCCAGGAGGGCGTTGGGCTGCTCCGTCTTCTCCGTCCTGCCGTCGGGAAACACGGCATCCAAGAAACCATCGCCTCCTTTCGTCAGTGTTCCCCGCTCCTCCCTGTCTGCGAACTTCATCGCACATCGCTCGGAGTTGAAATCGAAATACGTGGCCAGGGGATCCTGGGGCGGGTCTCTCACTTGCCCCTCCCGAGCTCCCCTCCCGAAGGGGTTCGGTTACGCCGTGAAAAATCAAAACTGCCCCCCTCCCCCTCCCCACCCTGCCCGCCCCCTCCGATCCTCCTTCGGGGCCGCGGCGGGCGGGTCAGCGAGCTCGACGTCCTCCTGCGACGAGAACACCACCATCGGGCTCCACGCGGCAACCTTCTGTTTCTTCCCTGCCGGTTTCGGAGGCGGGCTGATGCCGAAGGCGTTCTTGATGACATTGCGCCTGCTGCCCCCATCTGCGCTGGACGACGCGGCGGCCGTGGAAGATTTTGGAGGGTTCATCTCTATGTCGGAGCTGCTGTCGGCGCGTTTTTTTGCTCTCTCCTGTGCTTGGGCTTGCCCTGCCAGGCTGCAGCCCCATTGCCACCCCAAGCATTTTTGCGTGCGCCTCCAGCTTCCCCCCCGTCTTGGCGATGTAGAACTTGTTGCAAACATGGCTGAAAGCGTTGGCCACCTCCTGGCAGAAACGCCTACACTCTTCCTGGTGCATGTTCGGCTTCTGCTTCAACACGACGTCCTGGAGGTTCTTCCATTTGACGCGTGTGGTGAGCTGCGCAAGCGGCAAGAGAAACGGCATGTTGTTCTTCATGAAGTCATCTATGCCCCCTTGCAGTTGGCATTTTTCGATGAGATCAATGTGCTGTTTCACGAGCGGCTTCAACTGTTCCTCTGTCACAGAAGAAGCCCGTATCTTCACCTCCGTCTTGCCCTTGACCATTGCCCACCCCCAGTGCGCGCAAGCAAGAGTAGCGCTATGTGCCCTCGAGCCTTCGCAGCTGCGGGATGTTGTAACATGCGCGCAATGTGATGCAGCCGATACCCCTCGCTCAGGGGACGCATGCCCCCTCACTCAGGGGATCCTTAACAATGCGCGAGCGAAGAAAAGTACGACCTGGCCAAAAATCATGGGTTGGACTATAGTGCGACCCAAGGAAAGTGCCAGGTCGATCTATAGTTCGACCCCGCACTATAGATCGACCTTGGAGTCTCAAGGTCGAGGACCGGGGGGGGGTGCCGGCGGAGGCGGAGAGAGGCCGGGGGCGGTGGGCCTCAGCCGGCGGTGGGGCCAGTGGAGCGACTGACAGTCACGCAAAATTGGAGACGCATGGGGGACGGGCGTGGGGGACGGGGGGAAGGGGGCGGGCGGGGCGCGGACGTGGGGAAAGCAGCTGCCAGCCGCGGAATGGGGTGACGCATCTGTGGGGGACGGGAACCAGGAGGCGGGCGGGGGGCGGACGCGGGGCAGCGGCGGCAGCCGCAAAGTGGAGCGTTGGAAGGGCACCAGCCAGGGGTGCGGAGAGGAGTGGCGGAAGGAGGCGACTGACAGTCGCGTAGTGGCAGGGAACAGCCCCGATGGGGCAGGTGAGGTGGGAGGCGACGATCGGTCGCTCGGTGGTGTAGAGAGGCGGGAAGTGGCAGGAGCGCAGCAACCGGCCACGAGGTGTAGGGCAGCACTAGGCTGCAAATTTCGTTGTCGCGAGGGGCAGTACGGGTTACCCCACTGGAGTGGGGACCAGGCCCCGAAGCGGCGCCTAAGGCGGGCCGGGGTGGGGGCGGCGGTCATCCAGGGGGCGAGAAGCCGCAAAGGGGGGTCCAGGAGCTGGGTCTCCTGAGTGCCAGGAGCGAGCCGACAGCCCCAGCTGGGCGCGCCCGAGGCGGTATTGGGCGCGGAGCCGAAGTGGCGTGCCAAGGGGCCCCGCCTGGGGCAGGCCCCAGTGAGAGGAAAGTCGTTCGTATCGTCATGGGCAGCACCATCGCCGAGTGTAGGGAAGCAATCGGCACTGGCAGAGCCGCCTGGGTTTGCCAGACTATGGGGGACACGGCCGTGGTGTTGACTGCGCCGGGGGAGGGCGGGGACCCGTGAGAGGGTACTAGGGGTATACCCCGGGCTGGCGGGAGCTCGTGGCCCGCCAGGGCTGGTGGGGATACGCGAAGCGTGAACGATTATAATGTAAAGAAGCATCATGTAACTGCCCATCTTATCTCCACGTCGGGGCATACCGATTCGGCCGACCCTGCTGGACTGTTGCGTCAACCTGCTTGCTGGACTCAAGACGGTCACTAAGGACCTCAAGTCTGCCCAACGTGGGGTCATAGCGCCACAAGAGTGTCCCTAGACTGTCGAAAGGGCTCCACGATAGCCCCAAGAAGCGCAAGAGGGCCCACAGAGGCCTCCTATGTGGCCCCAGACGCTTCAAGAAGGCCCCATGAAGATCCAAACCATCAGAACCACAGGGAATAATATGTAGAACAATCATGCCGGGCTCCCAAGCTGTTGGGCTCAATATTGCCAAAAGACCGCCTCGAAAACACAGAAGGCAAATCAATGGGTTTCCAAAAGGTGCCCAAGACGGCCCAAAGAAAAGACGGCCCTCCCCAAAGCCCCCATGCTGGCCTCCGGAGCGAGAGGGGCACAAAACTGCCCACGAGGACCCCAAACAGCCCAAGAGGGCTTCAGACGGCCCCAGGAGAGCCACAAAGATCGAATTTGTCCCCAAGATGGCCCAAGATTTCCCCCCCAAAGCGCCCCAAGACGGCCCAACAGGGCCCGATGACAGCCCCCAAGATGTCCTCAAGTGGCGCCAAACATGGCTCATGTCCCCAAGACGGCGCCAGCGGGACCCACCAAAGGCCCAGGATGGATGAGGATGATGAGCATTAGCAACAGGATGAAGGAACTGCCGATCGGATATGAGAAGGCCCGAGAACGCTCTGCGATAGTAGATGCACTGTTTTGAGAACTATCGGGGCGGATGTTTCGTCAATGCTTTGACTGGTCAGGGTGCCTGAGCTCCAGCGGGTCCCAGGCGACATCGGGCAGTGAGAAAGATCTCTAGGGCACCTGCTGGCAAGCCGGAGCGCAGGCACCAACTGTGTACTCATCTGAATTCCATTGAACCAGGATGAGCCCCGAGAGCCACGAGTCCCTACAAGGTGAAGGTCATAACTCTCCCTCGTCGTGTGAAGGTCATAACTCTCCCTCGTCGTCATCCATGCGCAACGCCCTGTCCAAGCGGGTCTGGTTCACCTCGTCCTCAAGGTCGAAAGCCTTGCTGCCGTGCTCGTTGGCAAAAGCAGCGAGATGCTTGACGGATCGCTCTCCATCAAATGCAACTGGCGTGGTATCTCCAGCCCGGAGAAATAGCACCTTCGGGTAGGATTCCCACTTGAAACCTTGATCTTGGAGGGGAGAGCCATTCAGGGACCCGTCCATCTTGACAACAGATAGGTGCGGCACCCTCGAAGCTCTGATAGCGAACTCTTCCCAGATGGGCATGAATTTTCGCGAGAAGCCGCACCACGAGGCGTATACCATCAGGTAGACGTCTTTTTTGTCCGCCATCGGGGTCGAGGGCTGCATCACAATCTCCTCCAAGGTGTGGCCCACCGCTATCAAAGAACCCCCGTACATGTCCGGGGACCTCGGTATCGGCTCCGACTTCGTGAGCCTGTTGCGGACCCACTGCTCTAGGCTCGAGGCCGTGAAATCGCCGTCGTATCGAATGCTCTGCTCGCCCTCCCTCTCGGAGACGAAGGTGACATTCTCGACATCTGCTTCTCTGTGGAGCACGGCTACAGCGTCCATGTGCTGCGCCGCCACTACCTCGAGGGTCTTGTCGGGTGTTGCTAGAAGTGCCCCTGGCCCAAGGTTTATGTTGTTCCCATCCTACATGAGGACCGCATCCCAGAAGTTATTTCGAGCACCCAGAGAAATGTCAAAAATGTGTCGAAGCAGTGTCGAAACAGTGTCGGGCGAGTGTCTCCCAGGGCCCGACACGTGAAAATCCTGTAGTTGCGGTACTTTTTCTGGCGCTCGAAATTCTTTCTGGTGATCAAGGTTCAAGTAGGTTGGAGCACCATAACCCAAGGTGCCCCCAGCTTTTCGCTCCATTCTGGAGCCCCTGGGGCCCTCTGGGCCTCGTGAGGAGTGCCCTGGAGGCCGTCTGGGCTACCCCGAGAATCCCGGGTGTACCTTGGGCCAGGGGTACTTCTAGCAACACCCGGTCTTGAAGTGCGGGGACGACTTTGGTAACTGTGCGTAGATGGCGCGATCGTATCTGCGGATATCCGCCTCGGACTGCGCAGTCTCAATCGGGTCGCGGTCCAGAGCCATCACGAAGTCCACGATGTTCTTCATCTTTCGCAGGGTGTGATGGTATTTGGTCGGCTGCCCGTGCACGAACCAGAGCAACTGGGGGAACTTGCGCTGGGGTACGTACCTCTCTGCCAGAGCCCAGTCCTGCCTGGCGTCAAACTTGACAAAGGGCACCTTGCATCCGAGGTCTCGGATGCTCCGGGCAGCCGCGTCTATCTCCCCAGAGAGCTCGGCCCAGTTCGGGTCTGCTTGGTCCACAAAGTCCACCAGCACCTCCCGCCGGCGCGCAGAGGAGGGGGGGGCACAGGGGAACAAAAAGTGGCATAAACATAAAAACTCTGAGGTCGGCGCGGATTTCTCGGATCGGCGCTGGGGCCCCCCAGCGGCGCCTCCGGCGCCGCCCCTGGCGCGCTCCGCGCGCCAGGGAGGGGGGTCCAGCGCCGATCCGAGAAATCCGTGGACCTCCGAGTTTTTATGCCACTTTTTGTTCCCCTAGGGCAGGGCGAGGGGTGGGCGGGCCTTCTCTAGAGGCAGAGGGGGCTCCTTGGGAGGGATCGGGCCCTCTCACGAGGTGGAGGCCGCCGAGAAGCCCCTCCCACAGGGCAGGAGGGCCTCAAGAGCTGGGAGCGCCTTCCGAGGACCCTCAAAGCAAGCGTCGGCGCCAACGGGTGCCCTTCTCCCCATGCAGCCCCCCAAAACGACGCAAGCAACGCAACGAGGACTTGCACAGGCTGCATGGTGCCGACGGAAATGAGCGGGGTAGCAAACACATACAGAGGGTGCGAGCTGAACAACATTTACGTTTTCGTGTTGTGTTCGTCTTCCCTCGTTCTGTCATCGTCCCGCCCTTGCTGGAAAAGGAATCAAAACGGAAACTGTCCACGAAATCGCCAACCCACTGTTTAACACGCGCCCTGTATACACACCACACACAAGCATACGCAAACGCACACGCACACACAAGCACGAACACACGAACAGACGCACACGCACACGCACACGATTGCGCGGTCCCGTCTCAGGAGTGGCGTAGATGTTTTTCGCCCGGGTTGGTTTTCGCCCAGTGCGTTTCGCCCCGTTCGTTTCGCCCAAGTTGGCTTTCGCCCGGTTGGCTTATGCCCGGGTTGGCTTTCGCCCGGGTTGGCTTTCGCCCAGGTTGGCTGTCGCCCAGGTTGGCTGTCGCCTGGGCTCGTTTTCGCCTGGGTTCCCGCGTCCATCAGGAGCGCGGGCGACGGGCATGAATATTGGGATAGGGCCGCGGGCCGGAGGAGGGCGACCAGGAGGGGAACGGGAGGACGGGGAATCGTCGTCGTAGTCGTCGTCGTCGTCGTCGTCGTGTTATTGTCGTGGTGGTGGTCGTCGACGTTGTCTTAGCCGTTGTCGACGTCGCCGTACTCGCCGTTGTCGCTGTCGTCGTCGTCCTCCTGGTCGCCGTCGTTGCCGTCGTCCTCGTCGTGGTCGTTGTCGTCGTAGTGGTCCCGCCCGTCAGGGTCCGCCCGCCCGACCCGACCAGCCCGTTAGGGTTCGCGCGTGCTGAGTCGAGCGCGCCCCACACTTCAGTGCCCCGCCCGCCCGACCCGACCCGCATGATAGGGTCCGCCCGACCCGACCCGAGCAGTCCCGCCCGTTCCGCCCGCCCGGCCCGACCCGCCCGTTAGGGTTCGCGCGTGCTCACTCGAGCGCGCCCCCACACTTTAGTGTCCCGCCCGCCCGACCCGACCCGCCCGTTAGTGTCCGCCCGACCCGACCCGACCCATCCCACCGGTCAGGGTCCGCCCGACCCGACCCGACCTGCCCGTTGAATTTCACGCGTGCTCGCTCCGGCGTGCTCCACACTTCAGTGTCCCGCCCGCCCGACCCGACCCGACCCGACCCGTCTCGCCCGTTCGGGTCCGACCGCCCCACCGACCCGCCCGTTAGGGTTCACGCGTGTCGCTCGGGCGTGACCCACACTTTAGTGCCCCGCCCGCCCGACCCGACCCGCCCGTTAGGGTCCGCGCGGCCCGACCCGACCCGTCCCGCCCGTTAGGGTCCCGCCCGCCCGACCCGACCCGCCCGTTAGTGTCCGCCCGACCCGACCCGACCCATCCCACCCGTCAGGGTCCGCCCGACCCGACCCGACCTGCCCATTGAAGTTCACGCGTGCTCGCTCCGGCGTGCCCCACACTTCAGTGTCCCGCCCGCCCGACCCGACCCGCCCGTTACGGTCCGCCCGACCCGACCCGACCCGACCCGACCCGACCCGTCCCGCCCGTTCGGGTCCGACCGCCCCACCCGACCCGCCCGTTAGGGTTCACGCGTGTCGCTCGGGCGTGACCCACGCTTTAGTGCCCCGCCCGCCCGACCCGACCCGCCCGTTAGGGTCCGCGCGGCCCGACCCGACCCGTCCCGCCCGTTAGGGTCCGCCCGCCCGACCCGACCCGCCCGTCAGGGCTCACGCGTGCTCACTCGAGCGTGCCCCCACACTTTAGTGTCCCGCCCGCCCGACCCGACCCGCCCGTATAGGGTTTGCTCGACCTGAACCGATCCGACCCGCCCGTTAAGATCCGCCCGCCCGACCTGGCCCGCCCGTTACGTTTCACGCGTGCTCGCTCGAGCGCGCCCAACACTTTCGAGTCCGGCCCGCCCGATCCGACCCGCCCGGTAAGGTCCGCCCGACCCGACCCGACCCGTCCCGCCCGTTAAGGTCCGCCCGCCCGACAAGACCCGCGTGTTAACTTCCGCCCGACCCGCCCCGCCCGTTAGGGTCCACCCGCCCGACCGGACCCCCCCGTTAGGGTTCGCCTGACCCGACCCCACACTTTAGTCTCGCGCCCGACCGACCAGACCCGCCCGTCAGGGTCCGCCTGACCCGACCGGACCCGTCCCGCCCGTTAGGGTCCGCCCGACCCGACCCGACCCGCCCGTTAAATAAAGTTCACGCGTGCTCGTTCCGGCGCGCCCAGCACTTCTGGCGAAAGCCAACCCCGTCGAAAGCCAACCCAAGCGAAAGCCAACCCAGGCGAAAGCCAACCCGGCGAAAGCCAACCCGGCGAAAGCCAACCCGGCGAAAGCCAACCCCGGCGAAAGCCACCCCCCCGGCGAAAGCCAACCCCCCGGCGAAAGCCAACCCCCGGCGAAAGCCAACCCCGGCGAAAGCCAACCCCGGCGAAACGAAGCCCGGCGAAACGACGCCCGGGGAAACTAAGCCCGGGGAAACGAAGCCCGGCGAAAGCCAACCCCAGCGAAAAGCATCTGTGCCCCCCCACTCGGCCCCCTTCTGCGCGCAGCCGCGAACCCTGTCGTTGCTGCGGACCGGAGGGTTCCACAGGGGGTTCTCGGGGAGGGGGTTTTCCACCCTGACCTTCCAGAGAGCATTTTTTAGCACTGGAGGCCGAAAAACTAAGAAAACTGGGCGAAACGCCTTAAAACCAAGACGTAGAATAGCTTTAGGAACGTTTTTTTGGTCGGGTGCTTTTTTCAGCCCTCCTGGAAGGTCAGGGCAGGAGGGGTCCCCCAGGGGCTCCGCACCCCCTGTTTTGACGAGGTTCGCAGGCTGGGGGGCTCTCTGGAGAACCCCCTCCCCCAAAACTGCCTTTGGAACCCTCCGGGCGGAGGAAGTCGCCGAGGCCCGCCGGGGTCAGCACGGCGGCCACGCCGAGGCGCCCCTCGGCGAGCCTCGGGCCGCCGAGGGCGGCCGCCGACAGCAGCAGCAGCCGCCGCCCGGGAGCTCGCCGCGGCGGGGCGGCCGCCATTGGCGGGGGACCGCGGCGGGCCGCCGAGGAAGCGGGGCCAAACACCCTGCGCAAAGGACTCGGGCCTGGGAGGATGAGGAGGAGGAGGGAGGGAGGGAGGAGGAGGAGGAGGAGGAGGAGGAGGAGGAGGAGGAGCAGGAGGAGGAGGAGGACACACACAGACACACACACACACACACACACACACACACACACACACACACACACACACACACACACACACACACACACACACTCTCTCTCTCTCTCTGGAGGGGGGGGGGCGGGGGCGATGGGTGGCGAGGTGGCCGAGGTGGACAGGGGGGGGGACGGACACCGAGGGAGGGGGGCTGGAGCAGGAGGACAGGCAGCAAGGTGGAGGAGGGAGACGACGAGGAGGGGGAGAATGCGGATGGACGAGTGAGGGAGGATGGGGGGATGGGGGATAGAGAAATGCGGGAGGGACACAGAGGAGGGACTGAGAAGCACAAATAACATAACACCATACTAATGGATAACTGGAGTATGTGAGATGTATGATGGCCGAAGTGAGCATCGGAGGGGGCCAAGAGGATATGCGATACTGTGAAAGTGGGGCAAACTCGAGCGACCTACCGATGCGTAAAATCACTAGAACAACGCGGATGCGCGCGTAGCCTCTGGTCTGGAAGACGTGCATTGTATGTTGCCACTGGTAATTGGATGGGATGCCATGAATAGATATATATTGCCCAAACATCGCCCTTCAATAAAATTATCAAAATACTGATGGACATTATGTGGATGATGAAGAGATGGATGCGGCTGACACGGAAAGGAAGCGTACGATATACGCCAACAAAAGGATCGCCAACAATGCAGAAGACTCTGGACAGACCCTTCCCCCCCGCTGGCAGCGACGTCCTCATCATCTCTAGATTCCTGGTTGTCCTTCTTATCCCCGTTTCAGTCCTCTTGGAGGCCGAGGGGTCAGACCATCGACCCAACAGGCTCGTTACACGGGCACAGGCTCGGCTGGACCAACCCGAGCCGATGGAGGACGAGGGGGAGGAGGAGAGGTCCTCACAAACCACCATGCGACTGAATTGCGGCAATAATTATATCCACATCCACTGCGTCTTGGACTTTCTTGGAAGGGACGCCAAAAGGCCGAGACGCAGTGGATATGAATAAAACAAGCTAGCCTCCAGGGGCCAGACTTTTACTCATATCTACTGCGTCTCTGGTTCCTGGGGAAGGGAACCCAACACTCTCAGACGCAGTGGCTATGTATTCACAACTTGACAGCAGATGGGGTCCGTCTCCAGGTCTCCCAAACTCGCGCTCTGCGCTGAGCGAGACGCCGACATCTTCTTCGGATAGACCCCACCCGACCCATCATGGGGCGCGTTCTGACCAGAATCCCGAGGCGAATCCAGCCGCAGCGACGAATACGCTCCAGGAGGCACAGCAAGGACGAAAAACACGCTCAGTGGCCTGCACCCTCGATTGCCGATACTCTGCTCACCGTGCCCTCGCGCCACCTCCCAGGAGGAGGCCAGGGCTTCGACCGAGGCCGCGGAGCAGGAGGCGCGAGCCGTCTTCTCCCCCCCCGTGCAGGACGAGCTGGAGCCCGAGCGCCGGGCGGGGGGTCCACGACGAGACCGAATGGGGCGAGGAAGAAGGAGGAGGACGAGGAGGGAAGGAAAGGAGGAGGGAAAGGAGTGGAAGAGGGGGGAGGAGGGAAAGGAAAGGGACGAGGGACAGGGAGGGAAAGGAAGAGGGAAAGGGAGAGGGATGGAGACGAGATGGGATGAAGGGGGAAAGGAGGAGGGAGGTGGGCGAGGGAAGAGGGAGCTGAGATGAAAGCACGATGGAAGGATGCATGGAGGGGGTGGGGGGGGGAATTAGTACGGAAGGAGCAGAACTCGCCATCGCTCGGACGTCCATTCCCTGTGTTTTTTTCGGTTTCGTGCGTGTTTTTTTCGCTGGATGATCCAGGATGTTCCTTAATAATCCCCGCCGAGAAAAAGTGCACACGTCCGAGCGATGCCACGAGAAAGGAGGGAGGGGAGGGGATCCTACCAGCCCTTTGGTGCGTGAGTGGTTCACAGCGCTTCCTCCTCCAACCACCATCCCCTTCTGGGAGGGGCTTATCGTTGTTCGCCATTAATATACACCCCCTCCCCGCCCGGCCGGCGGCCAACTCGGAACCATGCCGACCCCATGCGGGTCACCACTCCCAGCATCCCTGACAAAAACCATACAAAACGCAGATGGGGGGGGGATCGCGACCGATTGAAGCGTCCAAGAAGACCTCGGCGAGAAGGCAAACATCATTGACTTGACTTTGGTTTTGGGCCCATTGTGGCCTCCTGGTCGGTGGACACCGATATGGTATCGCCCCTTCTTTGATCGAACTCCTCCACGATGGCCCCCAACGCTCCCAAGAGTGCCCACAAAGGGCCCCAAGAGGCGCCCAGCAGGCCCCACGAGGCCCCCAAAATGTACCCAAAAGGCCTCCAAGAGACCCCCTAGAAGCTCCCCCAAGGCATTCAAGACGCTCTAAGAGGCCCCCAGGACCACCAAAAGGCTCTTCAGGCATTCCAACATGACTCCAAGATGCTCTCAAGAAACATCCGAAGCGACATCCAAGAGGCCTCGGGGCTTTCTGCTCGCCCTCCCCCTCCTTCTCCTCTTCCTGCTCCTCCGATTCCTCCCCCATCCTCCACTGCCTGCTCCTCAACATCCCTGATCAGGGCAACTCGCCTGGGCATCGTTTCTGGATCGGCTGGCGGGGTTACGCCAAGCGTCTAGAATAGGAGCAAGGAGGAAATTGAGAGAGGAGGAGCGAGAGGAACGAGACGAAGGGAGGGATACGAAATGAGGAAGGGAGGAGACGGGGAAACACGAGGTTGGGAAAGAGGAGGGAGGAAAAGGGCGGGGAGAAGAGCGAATGGGAGGACAAAGAGGTACTGATACCGCTACTTCACAGACCTCTTCTGGGATGCGCCCTGACCAAATTTCGAGGCGATTCCAGCCGTGACGACGGCGGAAGGGTAGCGGTAATTATCCGTACTTCTTCCTTCCCACAGGGGAAAAGAAAACCTTCCTCCCCTTGACCAGCTCGGGGAACGCTCGCCTTGCCGACATGGGCATCGAAGACAGTGAGACCTTCTTGCGAGGCGACGTCGCAAGGGCCGGCAGCACGACCGGGCGCGCAATGTCCTTGGGGCGCAGTCCGCTGGGGACACTCGGCCGCGGGGTTTGGGGGCCTGTCCTCAGCTCTGCTGGGGGAGGGGGGCCAGGGCGAAGGGCAGGATCAGCCAGCATCGAATCGGGAAATCGGATAGAATCAGAACGCAAGTCGGATCTGGCTGGATCAGCACGGAGTCGAAATCGAATCGGATCGGCTGCCCCAAGGCAACTCCTGGGAGGTCTTCATCAGAACGATCAGGGGCGATCAAGCATAATTCGAAGGTCAATGCGCCGGATCGGGCTGGTTTGAGCCTGGGATTAAGCCAGATCGGCCAGGTATTAAGCGGGAGCTACTAAATTTGGATGATGTCAGATGAGGCAAGTTTCCTAGCAAAAATGCATCAGCGAGGATGCTGAATTGAGCCTCCCAGGAATGGCATCCTCAGGGAAGAGACGAGGCGAGGGAGAAGGCACGATCAGTCAACATCGAATCAGGAGCGAGGGAGAAGGCATGATCAGTCAGCGTCGAACGTGCATCGAACCAGGCCGTGTCGACACGGGGCCGGAATCGGACCGCATCGGCTGCCCCTGGATACACGACGACTCCGTGCCAGCATCAAACCGCATCGGATCGTCGGACTATTATATGATCGGAACCGGACACGACCGGGACAGCCGAATTCGACACCGAGCCGGATCGATCGAATCGAGATGGACCCCTGAGAAAGGGGTGAACAAGACCCGTCAGAAGGAGGCGACCAAAACCTGCATGCGCGAGATCTTCGTTCAAACTCGTAGTGGTGGAGCGGGACCCAGCCAATATCATTGCGATTGCAAGCGCGCCCGTGCACAGACACTGCACGTAGAGCAATGCTGGGCGGTGGCACGCAATCAGTTCGCAATGAAAACATGCAGGAGGATAGCGGGGCGAGAGGAGTGGAGGAGAGAAGGAGGTGGGTTGAGAGGAGGAGGAGAGGGAGGAGGAGGACCAATGCGAACCCAAGACGGATCAACGACGTTGCACTTAACCATGCATTCCCTCTTCACAGGTCCCTCTAAATATTCATTGCCATTGCGGGAAATGACCCATTAGAAAACAACCGTCTAAGAATCCTCAATCGTACCAAACACCGTTCCTGGGACTTCAACGCCGCGGATTCACGTGACCGCTGCGTCCTGACAATCCTGAATCGTGCAAATCGAATTCCTGCGAGTTCAATCCTACGAATAATTGAACACGCGAACGAATTTGCGCGGTGCTAATGCGAGAGCCACATGTTCAACACGAACCGCCCTTCATCTTTTGAGCTGCTGCGAACTTCCAAGGCGAATGAAAGCGGCACTAAAGCGAGAGCCACATTTTGAAAACCGACCGCCCTCCATCCTTCAAACGGTTGCAACCTTGTAAGACGAATGTACACAAACGAGACACACATTTTGAAAACCAGCCGCCCTCCATCCTTCAAACGATTGTAAATTTCAAGTATCAAGATTAGAGATGGTGAGGAAGGCTCAAGCGAAACACCCTGCGCGCCTCACTGACACGTCTGGGGGTGTGATAGGGTGGCTAGTATTTCGGAAAAGGGATGGCGGAAAGAGGACGAGAGGAGGAGGAGGACGGTGGCGGAAACCGCCGCGCCCCGAGCATCCACGGCCTCGCCAGAGCGCGCCGTGCGAAGGTACGCCCGCCCTGCAGGGTATCTCACGGTGCTCCACGCGGCCGCAGCCCAACTCGTGGGTACTATGCCCTGCCTCGCCATGTGCGTACGTAGTCGAGCGCCGCACCTCCTGGCTCTGCTGCACTGTCGCTGCCATCGCAGTTGTGTGTCCCGTCGTACGCATGTTCAAGCAACATGCCCCCGGTGCACATGTGTGCAGCTCAGCTGGGCGCTGTCGTTGCTCAGCTGGTTGTCTGCGGACCTCACGTTGTGTCGAAGCTTTATGACGAACGAACAACACACACCCATACCCATAAGGGGGTCGTTGGGAGGAGGACTGGCTTTGGGTATGGGTGCGAGTTGTCGGACCCTAGGGAATGCTCCCGTTCGAGCGGGGACCCCCATCCGACAACACGCACCCATAGCCCTCTCCGACCCCCCTATGGGTATGGGTGTGTGTGTTGTTGGTCCGTCATTTTACTGCTATCCCCCTGTGCGCAACTGAGGTTGGCCGAGCTGCCGTCGCCGACGCAGGTCAAGGACCGTCTTCTCGTGCGCCCGCGAACCCCCGCTCGTGGACCCAGCTGAGAGACAACGTGAGGGGAGCACCTGCTCAGGGGAGGGGGGGAACGTCGAGCTTGCATCGGCGACACGTCGCCGATAGACCCCCGATGGCAGATCCGCACGTTCCTGGGCGGGGAGGGCTATCAGGCCCCCATCGGCGACGAGTGGGCGATCGGGGGTCCATGCGCCCCTCCCCGAGCTGAACGCCCTCGAGCCTTGCCCCTGAGAGAAAAGGCCGTCCCCTCGCGCGCCCGCAGACGATGCCCAGCGCGCGGGACCCCCGCTCGCTGACGCGGCCCTTGTGGTCAACAGCTGAGCGCTCGCATGCCTCCCCGAAAATCTCTGCAAGAGAGAAGCTCGAAGTCGCCCGTGATGTCCTGCGGGAAGCCTGGGCTGCTCCTTGCGCCCCTGCCTCTGGCCTGGGGGCCCTCGGTGCACTCAAGGCTCGGCTGCTGGCCAGCGATGCCCAGCACGTTGTCGTCGTCGTCGTCGTCGTCGTCGTCGTCGTCGTCGTCGTCGTCGTCCACCTTGGCGCCCTGCGACGCGGCCGGCGGTGTCAACCCTGCCGACGTCTGTGCGCTCCTGGCCCTCGGCGGTGCTCTGCGGGTGGCCCCCTGGAGGCTCGGCTGGCGGTCTGCAAGGAGCACCCTGCGGTCGTCGGCACGCTCCCGGCTGCCGACGGCGGCGGTGCTGCCCCTTCGGCCCGAGCCTTCCAGGCGGTGGCTCTTCGTGCTCTCGTCGGTCAGCTCGTCCACACCAGGAGGCGCCCGTGCTGCAGCCGCAACGCCCGAGGTAGGAGGCTCGGCGATCTGCCCTTGCCCTGTGCCTTGCGCGTCACGCGCGCGATCGCTGCGCCCCATTGGAGAGCGATCGTGCGAACGACCAGCACACGCGCGTACTTTGCAAGGACCCCCCTGTGGCAAGGAAGCTACAGACAACTCGTGGCATAAGGATGCGCGGTGAAGATGCGAGGGCCTTGGAGGCCCTCGTCAGCGCTTTTCGAACGAGGATGGCCCGCGAGAGTCGCTCAGGATGAGCCGAGGGGGCAAGGATGCAAGGGCACCCTTGGAAGGTTGGTCATCCTTACTGTATGCGGGTTGACTGCAAGACCGTGTGCGCGGCCCAGGGGGGGGGGGGCGGAGGCAGGGACGCATCGAGATAAGAAGAATCGCCATGAACTCTGGGAGGATATCACGGCCCCCGCCGTGATGACCCCCCACCCCACCCCAGTCACCACCCCCCTCCCTGCCCCCCCCGAAGATTGGGGGGGGCGAGACCGACGTGAGACGGGGCCGCCAGGCCGGGAGATCGGTCTCGGCCACAGTCCGTGCCACGCGCGGGCGGGCGAGGCGGCGCAGCGCGAGCTATCCTGCACTGGCCAGGAGCCAGAGTCGCACCAGGAGGAATCGGTGGCCCCAGCCCTCCAGGGCCTGAGACGGGGTTGCCCCGATGCGTGTCCCAAATGGACGATCCGATGGTTGTCCCGATGATTGTCCCGATGGTTGTCCCGAGGGTTGTCCCGATGGTGGTCCCGGGATTGTGCCGGGGTTGCCTCGTGGTTGTCCCGTGATTGTGCCGCGGCGGCCCCACGTTCGTCCTGTGGCTCTCCTGAAATTGTCACGCGGTTGTCCCGTGGTTGTCCTGTGGTTGATTCGCGGTTGCTGCGCGATTGTCTCTCGGCTGTCCTGCAATCTTCTTAGTGGCCTCGCGGTTGTCCCATGGTTGTCCAGCGATTGCCCCGACGCTGTTCAGTGATTGTCCTGTGCCTATGGTTGCCCCGTGGTTGTCGATCGATGCGTCGCGACACCGGCAGATAGCGACACCAGCAAACTGAGGGACACCGGTGGATATGTTGCTTGTGGTATCGGTATTCACAGATAGCGAGGCCGGTGGACAGTCTGATCGACAGATGGGCTGCTCGTGCCATGGATAGCTCGTGAGGTGAGCCAGGACTGAGACCGACCGATCGACCGTGAGATCGCTAGATAGGCGGCGGCGGAGGCGGAGGCCTCCTCGATGGGGTCCGAGCAGATGGGGTCGGAGGATCGCACCGACGACGCCGACCCATTGCCGATGAATCGGCGATGGGTCGGCGTCGTCGGCGATGCCTCAGCGCTCATCGGTGCGGAGAAATTCGGGCTCCGCCTCGAGGCGAGCCGCCGATGCATCGGCGATGAGGAGCCATCCTCCGACGCTGATCTTCTCGGGCCCCAGGAGGGCGACGGCAGTCGGCCGAGCGGCGCGGCGATGCGGCTGGGCGCGTGGCTGCATGCGGGAGGCGGCGGCGCGGGCTCCCATAACTGATTCAATGTTCGCGGCGCCGACACGAGAGTCACACTTTGAACAACAACCGCCTTCCAGCCTTGAAGCTGTTGCGAAATCTTAGGACGAATGCGTGCAGCGCTACAGCGAGAGTCACGTTTTGAAAGCCAACCGCCTACCATGCTTCAATCTGTTGCAAATTTCAAAACGTCAAGATCATCAATGTTGAGGAGGCCTCAAGCGAAACGCCCAACCCGCCCTACCGACACGTCACGTCGGGGGGTGGGACAGGAAGGAGCATAAAGCAGAAGGAAAAGCGATGGTAGAGGAGGAGGAGGAGGAGCAGCAGCAGCAGGAGGCTTCTGTCGGTCGTGTGGCAATGGAGGGTGACCCAAATGGGGGAGTGAAGACAATGGCCATGAAGGGGCCCTTTGGAGAGCCCCTGTTGGCTCGAAAAGGGGCCCCGAAAGGCTCCTTTCTTCACCTCCCCTTCAGGCCACCCCCCCCTGACCACCCGCCCGATCCTTCTGCTCGCCCTTGCGGCCGTCGGCTGATGGGCTTGTTTTCCACCACCACCACCGCCACCACAACCATGAGTTGGAGGGGGGAAGAAGGAGGAGGAGGACGAAGAGGAGGAGGACGACGAAGAGGAGGAGGAGGAGGAGGAGGTGGTGGAGGAGGAGGAGGAGGCGGAGGAGGAGGAGGACACCCTCCCCTCCAAAGTATGGTGGTGGTGATGGAAAACAGGCCCACCATCGGCTGTCTCGCCACCTCGTCGCTCTCGCCTGCCCTTGGGCGCCCGCCCTGGGCCCCCCCGGCGCGCCGCGGAGGGCGCGGGAACCCCGACGAGCGGACGCCGGGTCGGGCGCGAACCGCAGGCATGCAAAATGCTTCGGGGATCTTCTGACCCGGGTCAATCCAAGCCCAGGTCAGTCAGGCCTTGCAGAATCCTGCAAGATCCTGCACCCAAACCCGGGTCAACGCGAAGGGTCCCGCAAAATCCTGCAGGATCCTGCGCCCAGACCCGTGGCAGTGCGACCCTGGCCCTGCAGACTCCTGCAAGATCGGGCGCTCTGGCTGAACCCCGTTTGCATCGACCCCCGTCTCGAGGCTCCCGACTTCTGGGCGCGGGGGCGGCCCCGGGTCTGAGGAAACCACAAGGTACCGATACCGCTACCCCCCGACCTCTAGGTGGCCCCCAAAAGAGGAAAACCTTTTCCTCCTCCGAGGGGCCGGGGCCGGGTCCCGCATGTAGGCGTCCAAGTACGCGCTCGATCCTGGCGGCGCGCGGCAAGCCGACGCCCGCCGCCCGGGCGCCCTGCCCCCGCCGACGCGCGCCGGCACCCCAGGGCCCGGCGTGCAGCCTCCTCCTCCTCTCGTCCTCCGACGTCGCGAAACACAGACTCGTGACAAATTACGACTGGAGCCCCGTCTCCTTCCTCCTCTCTCGGCCTCCTCCTCCTCCTCCTCCTCCTCCTCATCCTCCTCCTCCTCCTCCTCCTCCTCCTCCTCCTCCTCGTCTCTCCTCCTCCTCTCTCCCCTCTCTACCCTGCTTCTCCTATCCTCCTCTTCCTCCGCCTCCTCCTCCTCCTCCTCCTCCTCCTCCTCCTCCTCCTCCTCTCTCCTCCTCTCCTCCTCCTCCTCCTCCTCCTCCTCCTCCTCCTCCTCTCCTCCTCCTCTCTCCTCTCTCCTCCTAACCTCCTGCTCCTGCTCTCCCCTCCTCCTCCTCCTCCTCCTCCCTCCTCTCTCCTCTCTCCTCTCCTCTCTACTCTCTCCTCTCCTCTCTCATCTCTCCTACTCCTCCTCCTCCTCTTCCTCTCACCTCCTCCTCTCTCCTCCTAACCTCCTCCTCCTCCTCTACCCCTCCTCTCTCCTCTCTCCTCCTACCCTCCTCCTCCTCCTACTCCTCCTCCTACTCCTCCGCTCTCCTCTCTCCTCTCTTCTCTCTCATCTCTCCTCCTCCTCCTCCTCCTCCTCCTCCTCCTCCTCCTCCTCCTCGAGGGAACGCATGACACCGAAGTGGGGCCGATCTGCATCCCCTTTAATCGTGAACACATACCCACATCTTTGCTCCCCTCATTTTTCCCTCCTGCCCTCCAAATCATTCCTCGTCGCTCCTCTCCCCCTTCCCTCGCCTCGTAACATTCCTCCCCCTTAAGCCTTTTCCCTCGTGCTCCTGTTCCGCTTACCCCGTTCTTCCCTCCCTGCCGCCTCTCTTCCTCCCTCCATCCCACCTTCTCCCTCGTGCTTCTGCTGATCATCCTGCTGCTGCTGCTGCTGCTGCTGCTGCTGCTTCTCCTCAAAGCTTTCATTCCTTTTTCAATGAATAACTCCTCCCTGTCGCACCCCGAGGCTGGTCGGAATGGCAGGCTGGGCGTTTCGCCTGAGCCTTCCTTACAATACATGTGCCTGAAACTAAAAACTAGCATCAGTTTCACAAATTGAGGCCGGGTCACTTCCAAAATGTGACTCTCGCCTCAGCGCCGCGCACTCTCGTTTTAAGAAGGTTGCAACAACTTTGCGGATTAAGGGCGGGTGGCTTTCAAAATGTGGCTATCGCTTTAGAGCCGCGCACATTCGTCTTAAACCTTTGCAAGAGCTTCACGGATTGAGGGCAGGTCGTTTTCAAAATGTGGCTCTCACCTTGGCGCCACGCATATTCGTACGGATTGAAACGTTGATGAGTCTTGGGGTTACACTGGTCCTCCTCCTCCTCCTCCTCCTCCCTCCCTCCCTCCCTCACTCACTCACTCCCTCCTGCTGCATTCCACTCCCTACTAATTAGTTGCGTCTCCATCCTGCTCCAGCTCCTCCCCATGCCTACCCCTCCTCCGCCTCCTTCCCCCGCTGCTCGTTGTCTTCCTGATCTCATGTCGTCCCTCCTGCTGTTCCTGCTACTCCTGCTGTTCCTCCTTCCCCTGCCTCCGCATGGGCTCCCCAACATCTCCAAGACGTTCTCCGCTGCAAACGAGATCCCTCAGAAACGGCCCCCATTCCTCTCCCGTAACGCTTGCTGACGAGGATATCGGGGCGGATCTGGCAAAGGGGGGGGCGATGCCCCCCTCCAGGTCTCCAACACAATTAATCCTGGCGAAGGACTCAAAAGGCCTGAACATCGCAAGGCAGGTGGAGCGAAGGAGGGGCCACAGAACGTGAGAGGGGCCGAACTGGGCGGGGGGACGCATGCGGGCGCTGCCTCTGACGCCTTTGGCGGACCCCCCTGTGGGGCCACGAAACGTGTCTACCGAAATGGGCCTCGGGACGCATGCACCCATGGGGTTATGAGACGTGTGAGGGACGAAAGCGGTGCGTCGAGATGGACGTTATGACGCATGCGGGCGCCGCCACTGGGGTTTTCGGTGTAGCTCCCGATGGGGCCACGAAACGTGTGAGTGGTGTGCCGAAATGGGCATGGGGACGCATGCGATCGCTGCTGCTGCGACGCTAGGTGGAGCTCCCTATGGGGCCTCGACGCGTGTGAGAGGTGTGCTGAAGCAGACAAGCGCGGAGGGCAGGGGCAAGGATGGGACGAAGTAGGAGGGGGAAGAGAGGAGGCGAAGACGCGGGATGCTGCGGATTCAAAACGAAGACCCAACTCAACACAAAATGGTTGGGAATCACGCATTGTCCCTCTCCCCTCAGGCACGCAAAGAGGACAGAGGGCCTCCACCGTGCTGGCCAAGACCAAACAAAACCAGACCAACTGCGAACCCGCCATGAAAGAAAATAGTCATGAAAGAAACGGGTCCTAGACCCTAAAAGCTGCCCCCTGGAAAAATTCTTCATCCTGAATCGATGTTTGACCGTCCCCGTGCCCCTGGATGCCCCAATTGGCCCCCGAACGGCAGCAAACTTCCAAGATCCATTCCCTACAGGAGTCGTTGCCTCTTTGCGAAACAATGCTGAGCGCCAGCGAAAAAAAGGAAGAGGATGAGAAGGAGGAGGACAAGCAGACCGAAAGTCATACGCCCCAGGTGCGTGGGTTTTTGCAAACACGAATTGCTGTAGCTTCCACTTCACTGTCAACGTCGGCGTCTAGCTGAGAACGAAGAGGAAGGAATCTAGGATGACGAGGTCATGGAGGAGGAAGAGTGAAGAGGACAATAGTATATTGGGAGCTATCATACCTGGACACTTGCAGGCACCCGACCCAAATCCCGTGAAGACAAACAGCAGGCTGACAAACCGCATCCTGCCTCAACATTGCAAACGTGCAGTGGACAAGCACCATATGGCAATCTAGTGTTGAAGTTGGGGAATCGTGGTTTGAATCCTCATCCTCGTCTCTGTTTGACCCCACGCCCTCATAGTGGTGTAACATGTGTGCAGTCGCGTGCGAATGGCACGATAGTGGGCGGTTGCATATGGCACACATCGCGGAGCCTCGCGAACTGCCCATCGCAAGCCAAACGTCAAGGGGGGGAGGAGGACGGATGAATGAATGCGTTCAGGGGGGCCCGTGGGCCTCGTGTTTAGAATCAGGGATCAGGAAAAATGCCTCCGAAAGCGCGGGGTCCACCACCGCGCTCTACACCAGGCAGCACACGCTAGGAGGACGACGCAGGAAGAGGAGGGAGAACGCTCTGGTTCCAGGGAAGCCTGGGCACGGCGGCGACGAGTTGAGCGAGCCGCGGGGCCCGCCTGGTGAAATGTCGATGGCGAGCACCAGCCCGCCGCCGAAAGACTGATCTACCTCCTCCGGACCCCATTCAAGGAGTGGCGCACGTAATGAAAAGCGTACCGCTCGTTCGAATGGTTCAGGATGGGGTAGATCCGTCTTTCGGCGGCTGGCTGCTGGAAGAGGAGGGGGGGGGAGCAGGAGGAGGATGAGCAGGAGAAAAATGAACAGGGGAGGAGGAGAAGGAGGCGGAGGAGGAGGTCGACGAGGAGGAAAAGGAAGAGGAGGAGTTTTCCCCTGGCGGGCAGACACACCACAATTCTGCTTGTATCCAGCTGGCACGCAGGCGCGCGCCAGCCATGCAAGAGGAGAGGGAAACAGCAGCATGAAGAAACTTCAGCATCAGGGCGGTGACCGCTGAGCCACTGGCATCCCTAATGGCATGTACTTTTATTTCGTCCTCAGCGTCCCCGGTCGACCGTCGGTAGCCGGTGTCGTTATGTAGGTCGACTTCTCTGTAGCCGGTGTCGCTATGTAGGTCGACTTCTCTGGTGGGTTTCATAGCCGGATAGACTATCATCTGGGGCCAACTCTAAAGTATACCCGCAATTGCGTTAAGCAGCCGCGCCTGGACGTCAGTGGGATCCTGTGGCCGTTGCAAGGAGACGACGTATGCCATCAGCCAGGCCTGGGCTATGAGAGTACGCGCCAATGCTTCACGGAGGCTAACGAGCATGCCTGCGACTGGTTTCGTGGCCTTCTCCTCGGCCTCCGCGACCGCGTGGTCGGGGCGTTGGATAAGGCGCAGTTGCTGCATGTCTTCGTCCTGATCTAAGACAGCGTCTCCGCTTCCTATCTTCGTATATCTGACGGCGCAAGTGGTGCGAGTATGTTTGTTAAGCTTGCGTGCGCCGAAAGTGTTTTCGACGCTTTTCACGTTGCGATCGATCGTTTCCTCCCTTCCAAGCATGTGGATGTCGCCCACATGTTTGGCCGTCAGTGGGGTCTCCACTTTTTCGAGCCCCTTGTCATGAGGTGCGGCTCGCAGGCCGTAGCCGCGCGCGATGCTGCGAAACTTACGGGAGATGGCGCGCGGAGCGTCCTTCGTCCTAGCACCTGGCTTCAAGCACTGCAGGCGACGCCGACTTTCGTCGTATTTCTCAAGCCCAGGAAGAGTTCTTAGCGGGGCTGCTGAGCCAGGTGGCAACGCAAAGCATGCGATGCGGTCCCGCTCTCCAGTGGCCCCAGAAAGCTCGCGGCAGGCGAGGCCCTTCAGGGGTGCCTTATCTATGTCCGCAGGCGCGATGATTCAGCAAGGGTTACATGCGCCTTGAACTGCCACGGGCGTTGACTAGAACTTCTGGCCCGAGATGGTCTCCACGTCCAAAGCTTCTACGTCCATGGCTCCTCACAAGACAATCCTTAGCCGGATTGCCCTGGCCATCTTCCTGACATTCTTGGCAAATTGCAATTTTTCCCAACGTTTGAGGCGTCTGGGAGAGATGCCATCTGGAAGGATTTGGTGTCAAGCCACATCTTTAGCTCAGTGTAAAGCGCTTTACTTACATGCGCTGGATTGGCCACGCATTCAGCCTCGGCGAGCAGATCGTCATCCTTCGGTACCGCCGCGCTTTCAACGGCTGCGGAGACGTATATCAACATCGGTGTGATCTTATCGTTCTGTCGTAGGCTATACTGCTGTTCCGCGAGCGCGACTTTGGCCATGCCAGCTTTAATGCGTAACTCAATATACTGTCCATATTCGCCACCGTCGAGAGCCCAGTCTTCGTCGTAGTATGAAAGCATGGCGGCATTATACACATCTGCGCCAAGGTAGCGTGCATGTCCGCGATGACGAGTGCCCGGGTCATCGCTAGCTACGGTGGTCAGGGCCGTCTGGACAGGTGCCGTCGTAGTAAATGCAATGCGAGGTGGTTCACATGTTGCGGCCTCGAGAAGCTCTCGTTCGTCGTGCAGTTCTGAGTGCCGATCTTCAAGGACAAAAGCCTCGAGGTCGGCTTCTGATTATTCCTGAGTCGTTGGGGGGCGCCCTGCAGGCGAAGGCAGCTCGCGCCCAGGCGCCCCCGCTGGTCGAGCGCCCCCGCCTCGAGCAAGACCGCCTGCATGTTCTTCGGATTCCGAGAGGTCCTCGTCGAAGCCGGCCCGAGGCTTGGGCGAGTTCAGACACTGTAATATTTTTATATGTAGACCCACGAGGGCTGCGCCGTTTGACTCGCAGTAACGGAACCCCGGCGCGACGTCGTTGTCATGGTGGGCCAGGGTGCATCTGAGAGTGCAAGTGGCGGCTGGTAGCCGATAGGCACCCTTGGCAAGTCGGACTGCGACCGCGCTCTCGATGCTGAAGTTTCGGTAGGGCGAGGTGTGCCTTAGGCGATAACTGGCTAGCAGCAGTCATACGCAAGTCTCCTTGCTGATTCGATTGATATCCAAAGGTCATCGCAGGTCTCCCTGCAGGTAGACTTGCGACAATAGCAAGTACAATTCGGAGTGCTGTATTATCTGATCAGCGCTCTCGTGCCACTAGCACTTCGATGTACAGAGTGCGCCTCAAGTCAGGGCATTGAACAGCGACTTCGCGGTTGCCGACCCTCACTATTCCAGGGGCGTTGCGCGCGACTCGGCGTGGTCCGTTCCAACCGCCCCAGTCGTCCTTAGTTGTGGTGGGTCAATGGTAATCAACCAAATCACCATCGTAATAGCGTTTCTGGCCTGGTGGTATTGTTTTGGTGCGCAGTGCTCTTTTGCTTTCGCAACCGCAGTTGATTGCGTGATAGCTTCAAGGTTGATTTCCCGCATCCGCTGTTCTCGCGAATGGTCAGACGCCTCCGTCTTTCGTTCGCGTTCCAGCGCTGGCAAGTCAGGCAGTCATGCCGGCTGGCCTCCGCATTGCGCTTGGCATGGTCACGAGCACTGCTTCATGCAATAGAGGGGGGGGGGGGGGGGAAATGGTAGGTGTGTAGTTTCAAATCTTCCTCCATTAATGTTCAAGGGCTGTCTGAAATCTAATTTCTGGATTATATCAGAGTAACGCTTTGCCCTCGCGCTTGGATCTTAAGCTCGGTGCCCGCGCGTGTGAGAATAGCTCGAGCTGCGTCGTTGCGAAGAACGCCCTCTCCATCTGAATATAGGGCCCTGGCTGGGCCAGGCTGCAACCGCGCATAGCGGCGCGCATCAAGCACCAAGGTCATGGATTTGTCTGGGATTTGTTGACCAGCTGCAAAACGAATGAACACCCAGTGCGTCTTATCGATGAACACGTCACATTCGCGTTCCTCATTGACTTCCCCTGATAAGGCCACCGACGGCACGGCGGCGTTACCTGGCTTCACCCATGCGCCCGCAGTCGCAAGGTCCCGCCCCGCCGCCGAATATCGGGGGCCGCGCGCGAGAGCAACGCAACAAGAAACCGCCGACCGCCCCTGCAGGGACCGCGCGCGAGAGCAATGCAACAAGAGACTCAGCGACCAATGTGGCAACGCCTCCAGCTGCCCCGCCCTCCGTGAGATTGCCGCGGGACGTGCCCGCGCGCATCTCGCCAGCTGACGGCGCCAGTCCCGCCCTGGAACACATGCGCTTCATGGAAGCATGCACTCTGAGACCTCTCCAGTAAACTCTGCGCCCGCGGAAGTCTTGATCTCGCCCCGAATGGAAGGGGGGCGCGGGGGCAAAGAAGTCGCGAACGTTCCACGCGCAGAGCGCAAGCCGGGCAAAGGGGCGACGGGCTCCGCCGGCGGCCCTGGCCAGCGGGGCGGGGGATTGCGACGCCGTGCCAGCTGGGTTACATCTAGCACCGCCTCGGGAGGCGGGGGCCTAGATGAGCTCGCAGACGCAGAAGCCGCAGAACCATCCCCGTCGAGTTCCCTCTCCCCAGCTGGCGCACTCGCCGGCAGGGGCAAATCTCCTAGCAGCGGGCGCGAGCGCGAGGCGGGCCCACCATCGCGTTCGCGCTGCCCGCCGACGCCCCACCATCGACGCTGGCGACGCTGGAGGCCGTCGCGATGCGAAAAAGGATGACACCCTTGGTCACGCAGATCGCTCCCCCGAGCCTCGTGGAACCGACGCGCTCTTGCCCGAAGATCCGCGCCGCCGCCTGCCTCGCATTCCCGAAATAGTAGGACAACTTGCGAAGCGACCGAGGGAGGTCGCGGCAAACGCGGGGCTCAAGGTCCACCCCGCCCTCTGGATCAGGAAGAATGAACGGCTCCTCGGGCGCGCGCGTCGCGTGGGAAATTGAAGCCATCAGGACGCTCGGGAAATCGATGAAAACCTTCTTACTCCAGTTGAATGCCTGAATCTGGATGCTCCGGATGTCAGCGCCCAGCGCGCGTTTGTTCGCAATCTGGGAAGCAGCTTGGCAAACAACTGCTTCCAGAAATGGGCGACGGAATCCCAGGACCGCCCGGCGAGGAAGGTTGACGACGTCACCTAGCCCGATGCGACGCCAGACCTGCCGTCCACAATGCTCACCATCCTCTGGGGTTGCCGTTCCAACAGTAGGGGTGCGCGTGCCTCCAGCATGTGCTCCCCATCAACGCCGCTGACTCCTCCTTCATCGTATCAATTTCACCCATGACATCCTTCCTCATATCTATCTCAACTATCTGGCGACCCTGAATGGCCTGCATGAGGGCCGATTCCTGGATAGAAAGGATGTATGCGACATTCTCCATTGCTTGCTTCGCGAGATCTGCACGCGCAGTTTGCCAACTCTAAAAATTATGATCCACCTGCAACATGTGGCCCTGGATTCCCAAGATCTGACGGTTAATCTCCGTGATACCACGGCCCAACACTGCACGGGAGAAGCTTGATCAGGTCTGTAAGTGCGGCCAGCATGCTTGCGTCAGCCGTAATAGTACCTAGGGGTGGCGGGCACTCGGAACAAAAAGACCCTCACTCCCTTCACTCTCCACCGGACTGGTAGGAATATGAGATTCCCCTGTCCAAGGAATCGCAGTCCGCATGGCCTCCATCGCTGGAGGTGAGACGAGGGCAAGAGCACGAGAGACAAAGACGCGGCCGCCGAGGGTCAGGGGGCGCACCCGCGGCCCGCCCTCGGCGCCTGGCCACCAGGCGCCTCGAGAGGTTGGGACGTTCAGGAGCAGGCCCACTGAGCCCAAATGGCTTGAGCCAGTGGCTGGAGGAAGAGGAGGAGGAGGAGGAGGAGGAGGAGGAGGAGGAGGAGGAGGAGGAGGAGGACGACGACGACGACGACGACGACGACGGAGGGCGAAAGCAAGAAACATCCACGCGATCCTGGCACCTCTCGGAACGGCTCCGACACGCTGAAAGAATACATGGGCTCCCCGCCACCGAGCGGCACCAGCTGCCCCGGCAGGGTGGAGCTCAGGGGGTTGCGCAAGGACGACGTCCAGGCCGCGACTCGGCACGGGGGGCAGGCCGCGGGTCGGGGAGGGGGACGGGGGTGGGAAAGGGGTGCCAGGATGAGGGGCACGGGGAGGCGGGGTGGAAAAGGCGGGGCGAGGGGAACAGGAGAGGCGGGGATGACCAGAGGCGAGGCGAGGGGAAAGGGCACGGGAGGAAAAAGGGAGACGGGGGCGAGGGAGGGGGGGAGGGGACGGGAGGCGAGGCGAGGGGAAAAAGCATGAGGTCGGCGACCCGGGGCTCTGAGGTATCTGGCCGGACTCCTCCCCAGGGCCCGAGGCAAGCACACCAGAGCCCGAGAGGCGCCCGCGACGGAGCTGCGCGGGGGGAGGGGGGGGAGAGGGAGGGGGAGGGCGGGGGGCAAGCAGGGAGGGGACGGGGGGGGGAGAGGGAACGCGGAAAGGATACGACGAGCCTCGCCTCCCACCATGAGCGAGGGAGGCCCCCACGATCGCCCCAAAACTGCCCCCGAGACCCCCTAAAAGGGCCAGAGAGGCCACCGAAACGGCAGCAAAGGAGGGCCCTCAACAGGGCGCCGCCGCGCCTCGAAGAGATGGACCGAAGACTCCCCGGATACCCGAAGAGCCCCCAGAGGCCCACGAGAGGCCCCCGAGAGGCCCCCGCGCGACCCCCAAGAAGCTCCCAGGATGACCTGGATAGGCTCCGAGGATTAGTCCCGACGCCCTAGGACCCCGCAGTGCTCCCGACAGTGCTCTTGGATGGGCCGAAGGCCTCGAGATCGGAACCCTCCGTCACCCCCCAACGCGCCGACCGAACCCTGGATGCAGAGCGCCTCCAGCCTTTCCTCCTCCCTCCCTGCCTGGACGGGAGCGAGCGAGCCCCGGAGCCGTGCGCGCCCCGCTACACAAAGCACGCGCGCGCCCATCGGGGCATGGCCTCGGAGGCCAGGGCCCCGACGGGAGACCGAGACTCCGTCTGACGGTACGTGCTCCGACGCTCCTCTGTCCTGCCTGGGAGGGGAGGGCGGGGGAGGCGGCAGGCCAGAAGGGGGAGGAACAAACAATGCCGTAAACATAAGCTATCGGAAGTCCGCGCGGATTTCTCGGATCGGCGCTGGAGCCCCCTAGCGGCGCCTCCAGCGCCGCCCCCAGCGCGCTCCACACGCTAGGGCGGGGGGGGGAGCGCAGATCCGAGATATCCGCGCGGACCTCGGAAGAGGGGAGGCTCGGGGCCTGGCGAAGGTGCCCCTCTGCCCGCCGCCTCTGCCACTCGGCGACGAGACAAGACAGAGGAGGCGGCAGGCCGAGAGGAGAGACTCGGGGGGGGCGAAGGCTCGTGTCGGGCAGAAGGAGCGGATAGCATAGGGGGGGATAGCGAATCGGCTGCATGCAGCCGTCTTTTTTCGTGGCGCCTCCTGGACACATGAACAGATGGCCAAAAAACTCCACGAATGAACGTCTTCCAGACTCGTGCCGGAATACTTACGACAGAAAAACCGGGCGGCGCCGGAGGCGGCGCCAGGGGGGCCCCAGCGCGGATCCAAGAACTCCGCGCGGGGCGCCAAAAGTTTATGCTTATGGCGCTTGTTCTTTTTCGACTCACGGAACACATGGACAAGGCACTCCACAAGTGCTGTGGTACCCATGAAGCCGGCTCGGGCTCTGCCAACTCCGATTCACAGGCATCGACAAATTCTTCTCATAGCACTGTGCAGAGCCTGTGCTTAGGTCCCAGTCTCGTGCTGGCACTTATGAACACAAGAAGCTACGTTCACGCGGCAATCTTGTGTCTCGTTGCTTCCCGTGCATGCGCATAAAAATCCACCACCGTGCCTGCACGGAATGGGCGCGTTAGAATCTGGGCTGGCACAAGGAATGAAGGAGCGTTTCATGAAAGGCTCATGGCACCGTTCGCTCTTGGGAGCTTTGGCGTTCAAAGCTGTTGCACGTCACCGTTCGCTCTTCGGGGCCTTGGTGTGAAGAGCTGCTTCACGTCACCGTTCGCTTTTGGGAGCCTTGGCGTTAATAATGTTCTACGTCAACGTTCGCTCTTGGGAGCCTTGGTGTGAAGAGTTGTTTACGTCAACGTTCGCTCTTGGGAGCCTGGAAGCTAGGAGCTGCTCACGTCACCGTTCGCTCTTGGGAACCTGGGCGTTAAGAGATGTTTAACGAACCGCTCGCTCTTAGGAGCTTGGCGTTCAGAGCTTTCTGCGTCACTGCTCGCTCTTGGGGCCCTGGCGTTCAAAGTTTGTTACATGACCGAATCTTGCCAAAAAGGCTTTCGCGTCACCTGGTGTTCTTCGGAACCTTGGCGTCGAAGATACGTCCGTTATTGGGCTGTTCGGGGGGGTCCTCTGGGGGCCCTTTTGGGTGCCTTCGGGCTCTTGGGCTGTTCTGGGGCCCTCTTGGGGGGCTTGGCCAATCTTGGGGCCCTCTTGAAGCCTCTTGGGGGCCTGCTACGGCACTCGAGGAGCTATTTTGCGAGTTCTTGGGGCCCTCTTGGGTCCCTCTTGAGCCGTCTTGGGGCTCTCGGTGGCCGTGCTGGGGCCCTCTTGGGCCTCAATGGGGCACTCTTGGGAGCCTTCTGGCCCGTCTTGGGGCAATGTCGGAGGCCCTCAGAGCCGTCTTCGGCCGATCTGTGCCCGAGAAGGCGAGAACCCCCCAACATGAGAACCATGAGAATCATCAAGGTTGTTTGCCTCCTCAAGCCATCGGGGGTCCTCTTGGGAACATGTTGGGCCGGGGCCCACTGGGCCGTCTTGGGGCCCTATTGGGCCGCCTTTTGGGCTTCCTATGGCCCTCTGGGGCTGTTTTGGAAGCCTTTCTTCGGCCCCTCTTGGGGCTCCTTGTGGCCTCCTTGGGGCCCTCTCGGGAACCTCCGTGGCCGTCGTGGGAGAATCGCAGAGACCCTCAGAGCCCCGTCTTCAGGCGACCTGGGCCAGAAAATGCAAGAGCCCAAACCATATTGAAAATACACAAGAACATCAACGTTTTTGCTTCCTCGGGCTGTCTGGAGGGTCTTCTTGGGGAGCTCGTGGGCCGGCCCCGGGGCCTCTTGGGCCGTTTGAAGGCCATCTCAAGCCCTCTTGGAGCGCTCTTGGACCGTCTGCGGGTCCTCTGGGGACTCTCTTAGGTCGAATTGGGGGCTTCTACCGTGCCTGCACGAAAAGGACGTGTTACAGCCCGGGCCGGCACGGGAACGGAGAGGGCGCTGCAGGAACTGGCCCGAGATGGCCTATGTAACCCTTCGCTCTGGGAAGCCTTGGTGCGAAAAAAATGTTACGTCACCGCTCTCTGTTGGGGGCCCTGGTGTTCAGAGACGTTCACGTTGCCGCTCGCCCTCGGGAGCCTTCCTGTTAAGCGCTTTTTACGTCACCGCGCTCTGGGGGGCTTTGGTGTTAAGAGCTTCTCTGGGGCTTCTTGGGGGTCTTCTTGGAGCCCTTTTCGGCCGTTTCGAGGTCCTCTTGGGCCGTCGTCGGGCCCCTTTGGGCCATCTTGGAGGGCTCTGGCCGTCTTGGGGATCTCTTGGGGCCCTCCTCGGGCTCTCTTCGGACCGTCTTGGGGCCCTCTTGGGCCGTTTGGGGGCCCTCTTTGGCCGTCTTGGGGCCCTCTTGGACAGTTGTCGGCCCCTTTGGTCCTCTTGGGCCGCTCTTGGCCCAAAAAGGCGAGAACCAGAAAAACCTTCAAACATTTTAGCGTGTATGTGTATATATATATATATATTCTCATGCGCACCTCTCCGAGGGAGTAGAGCTCAGAGGCGATTCATGCGCACGCGTCCGCGATTTTTCTGGGCGTTTCGCTCGGGACATCCTCGAAATTCTGAAAATCGGTGGCACCCCTCACGCAGATCGTGACGTCAGGGTCCAAAAACGGAATTTCAACAGTTTAACATAAAACCTTCAAAAACATATGGTAATTTCAATAATTGTGACCCCGATTCTCAGGGAATGGCGGTTTCGCTTGAAAAATCCTTCCAAAATCGAGCCCCAGACCCCGCCTCGGAGCCTCCTGGGGGCCTCCTGGAACCTCCTGGGGCCTCCTGGGGCTTTCTGAACCTTCTGGCACCCCAGACCCCGCCTCGGAGCCTCCTGGGGGTCTCCTGAAACCTCCTGGGGCCTCCTGGGGCCTCCTGCGGCCTCCTGGAGCCTCTTGGGGCCTCCTGAAGCCTCCTGGGGTCTCCTGGGGCCTCCTGAGGCCGCCTGGGGCTTCCTGGGGCCTCCTGGGGCTTCAGAACTACATGCACACAGAGACACAAATCACGCCCAACACATCACACGCTAGACAAACATAACACACACACACACACACACTACAACACACAAAAAGCACGCACCACACAAAGCATACATCACACACACACACACGCACAACACTCACAATCCTGGGGCCTCCTGGAGCCTCTTCTGGTATCCAAGTCGGGCCTCCTGAGGCTTCCTGGGGGGTCCTGGTACACACATCGCAAGGTGTGGCAACCCCACTTGCGCTCGAGTGCGACTTCGATGTTGCATTTCACTCCTGCTTCAAACGCCCCTTCAGTTTTTTTGTATGAGCCTGGGCACACACGTGCCACTTGTATATATGCGTGTGTGTATGTATGTATGTATGTATGTATGTATGTATGTATGTATGTATGTATGTATGTATGTATGTATGTATGTATGTATGTATGTATGTATGTGTGAATGTGTGAGTGTGTATGTTGATGGCCTCCTGAAACCCTCTCGGGGGCCCTCTTGAGGGCCTCTGGAACCGTCTTGAGGCTCTCTTGGACCGTCTGGAGGCCATCTGAGGCAACCTTGGAACGCTCTTGGGCGGTCTTGGGCTCTCTTCGAACGCTCTGGGGCCGTCTTGGAGCCCTCTTGGACTCCTGTTCAGGGTTTCTTGGGCCGTCATGGGGATATCTTGGGCCGTCTTGAGCGATTCTGGGGCCGTCTTAGCGGGGTGGGGCGTGTTACCCGGAGTCCCCCTCCCACGCCTCTCCCCTGGACCCCTCCCTAGAGGGCTTATCCCCACCAGAACGTCATTAATCGTACC